AAAATATAAAACTGTAAATAGAAATACAAAACTAAATAATAAACTACAAACATAATATCACATTATTTCATAAAATTATTTCCATAATGCTCCATCTTTAGTTACACAATACTTATTTGGATAATATTTTGGAGGTTTTGAAGGTTTAGAAGAAAATTTACCATACTATTAATATTGTTGTAATATTTAAATTTATGTAATAACTATCCATTTCATGTACCTTTTTAAAAGTTTTTTTTAAGTTTCTTTTGTAATATTAGTGAAATATAATTTTAGTTTTAAAATATATTTTAAAATTTTATTTTAAAATTTTATGTATAAAACTTAAGTTAACANTTTGAAGGTTTAGAAGAAAATTTACCATACTATTAATATTGTTGTAATATTTAAATTTATGTAATAACTATCCATTTCATGTACCTTTTTAAAAGTTTTTTTTAAGTTTCTTTTGTAATATTAGTGAAATATAATTTTAGTTTTAAAATATATTTTAAAATTTTATTTTAAAATTTTATGTATAAAACTTAAGTTAACAAATCTGAAATATTTATAAATATAAAATTTGAAGGATTAAAATGTTAACGAGAAAATAATGAAAATCAAAAATATATTATATAATTAATTGTAAGGACGTGCAAATAAAAAAATGAAACTTCAAATTTGAAGTTTCGAAGTTTCTTTTTGGAGAGCCAGAAACTCTATATTTGGTGTTATAGAGTGTCTTTTGGAGATGCTCTGAGTGTTTCAAATTTAACATATGTCTCACACACATAGAAAACTAAAAAAAAAAATAGGAACTTTAAGCTTCTCATGGTTTTATTTAAATAATTAAAATTTTATATTTTGCTATGAAGATAAAATCGACTAAGAATTTAGATATAGACAATTTCTGTTGTTTGTTATTCATTAAAATATTACTTTAGAAATGTGGATTGTATCATATTTTCAATGTGTATTTAAGTTCGCCAGAATCTTATTAGATTAAAGCTTTTGATTTATCGAAATAAGATCTTTTAACTGGTATTGAGATGAAGACTATCTTACTTGCATTGTTTGTTAAACATTTTTTAGTAACCATTATAAATAGTAATTTGGATCAAAGTTTTTTTTAAATAGCTTCATATATTTTGGATTAAAAAGCATGAATTCCACACTGTAACCATGAACAATTTGGATATTTGATGATCAGTTTATCAAACCGAAGGCAGAAGGCCTATTATTACTAATCTGAAACCAAAAAAAGTCATTCAAAATCGTTGAACATCTCAAACGAAAACATATCATAGATTCGTATGTTTTATCAATTTAAAAATTTAAGAATTCAAAATCCTCACCCGCTCAACTTTCACCATTAAGAAAAAGTACCAAAACTTTATATAAAAATGTGTCTTGGCCCATTCTATAGTTTCTTTTTGGAGGATGAATACTGCCCCACTTGTGCCACTTATACCCTCCTGCACCAAGTTTAAAGCTTTGAAGCTATGAGTTTTTACAGCTCTATCTTGAATTTAGTTACTTGACGGCTTATGCTGACTTGCAATTTCGGATTCTTTGACACAATTATGTTTTCCACCTTTTCTTTATTCATTACATTATTGATCCAAGCAAAAATGTTTGTAAGCTTTTCGTGCAAAGAGACAATTCTTTAGAAAAATACCTTCACTGTTGTTTCCTCCTCTTTTTCTGAGTCATCCGCAACATCATCTAAACCCATCTAAAACCAAATAAATAAAAAATAGGGAAAAAAATTAAAATGACTCAAATTTATGGTGATATTACTAGAATGACTCATATTTTTTTTCAAATTATTAGAATGTTTTCGTGGTCAGAATTACCCCTGCCGTACAACAGAGTTGTTAAAAATATCTATCGTATGACACAACAGATTTGTCTATATTTTGTCTGATTTGTATTAAAAAACGATTTCTTAAAATGAGTTGCAAAATTTAGTTTTTTTTTATGAGTTGTGAGTAGATTGACTCACTTAATTTATTCAGAACTTACCAAAGTTTACAAAACAAAAAAAAAAAAACTTACCAAAGTTAAGCTCACCTCTTAGACCACAGTTTGTTTCAAATTCTTTGAATGAATGGAAACCGAAGCTGTCCAACATGTCACATGGATATATCTGTATAATCTTATGAAGCATCTAATAACAAATCATGCATTAGCATCATCTAAGCATATTGAGTTCGAGATCACATAACATATTACTTCCTTAGTACTCACTCATGGTTCTTGAGACGCTATCTCCTGCACAGAATTTGAGCTATAAGCATCAGCTGCCCAAGATAAAACAAAATAGCAACATGAGCGATAGAAAGGAATGAACTGATGATTTGCAAGGACTTTATTAAGTTAACATTTGTGAAGTGGTTTAGGTAAAGTAAGGAACTTTATAGGACTCATCTTAATGAGAGCAACCCCAAAAGGTTTTCAAAGGTGAAATGTAAGTATGATCTACAAGTAAAACTGAAATGTGCATGCCTCAGCTTGTAATCTTCTTTCTATTCATCAAACCACATAATTCAACCTGTAACGCAAATAATATGTAGCTTGAATCCCATAAAAAAAGAAACTCTAACTCTAATATGTTCAAATCCTATGTCTCTGATCTACCTATTTCTGTAATTCGAGAAACATATAAGAAAACAGTATCAGAAAACATTATTCTCTCAAGGTACGAATGGATGGTCATACATGGGATTTTAAAGACAATCAAAGATCTGGCTTTTATCACCGTGGGCGGAAGAAGACGACACAGCGATGCTCTCCGACTCCTATGTTTCCCTTGAGATGTCTTTCTCCGTCGGAAAAGCTAAGTAATTTCTCTTGACAACCTTGACGCCATATAAAGTGGATGAACTGATAGTATACCATGATCATTTTTAATAAATTCGTCGAATTAATTGAAGGAAAGACGACCGGACAGGTTTACGTTTCATACCCCAGCAAGAAAGAACTTGTAAAAACATGGATTAGGGTTCGTCCACTTCTCGGAGGAGCGAAACTCCGATTTCATCTTGTCTTGTAAAACCAAATCTAGTTTGTTTTGTCATCTTCTTCTTTATGCAGAATAAGTCTACTATGAAAGATTGAGATAAGCCCAACCGACCAAATAAGCATCATAACCAAACGCAGTGTTTCAACAAAGAAAGACACGTGTCAGGCTGCGAGGGAGCGATGATGCGGTGGCAGAGGCTAGAGGGAAAAAACTCTTCTTTATATATATACTAGGGTTAGCCCGGGCTACGCCCGGAATTTAGACATAATTGTAATAATATTATGAATAGATATATTATATTAGAGTTGATGATTAATATATAATTAAAATGTCAGTTTATGATTGTTTTTTATTTATTCACTATGTTGTCCAACAAATTTGGAATGATAGAAGTTCACTGTTTACTGTATTTTCAATATTTGAAATTAATGTAAGGTAAGTAATTTGAATGAAAATTAATTAAATTTTGTTTATGTCTTACATACTTTTATCTTATTTATTTAGGTTTTCATATAAAACAATTATTAAAATTTAGAACTCCTTTTAAATGTAGTTATGTTTTTTTGAATGACTGAGATTTTATTTATGTGGCATCCGTCTTTGAAACGTAGTAATCGTGTCTTTACATTTTCTATTTCAAACGATAATAAACTATTTTAGCTAACTAAATTTACGGCTATAATTTTCGTTTGATAGGTACCAAGGTTATTTTATTAGGCTGACCAAAGGAACCAAATATTTGTAGCCAAATTGTTGCACAGAAAAGGTTGAAAGGATTGTTTTGATCAACTTGCTACATAATTTAGGAAAATCAAATTGCTAAACTTCGTCTTTGATTGAAACCAATTGTTCGAACGGAATTTTTAACTAAACCAAACTATCTATATAACCAAAACAACAATTACACTGTTTACACCAAAAAAACAATTACGCTGTTGGTCTCTAAACACATTGCAAATAAATAAGACGCATATCAAATTAAACAAAAGAACACAGTTCTTTTTGCATTGTTTAGTGAAAGCATCATTCACGAATGATTTGTAAGATTATTCTAAGCATATATCTTACTCGAACTGCAGAAGACGATGTTGACACATCTAATACCTGATTTTGAAGAAAACAAATATATAGTTTTTTTTTTCGGCACAAATATATAGATAATAGATAGCAAAAATCATGAAAATTGGTCCAAGTGATGACAAATGTAATCATTTTCTCCTCTATCTATTTTCTGCTTGGATTTTTCACCACCAATTACCTCATGAGTCACCAAGCTCTATTCATATGTACTTTTCGTCGCTATTGACATCACAAAGAATTTCTGATTTGTTTTGTCATAGCTTACGGCTATCCAATTTTTAAAACGTCCCTACAACTTCTATGTCCGGCCTGTATCTCGAGTTCGTCAACCTTGAAAACATTTCTTTTTTTTTTCTCTGAAACTCTTCAAATGGTTTGCTTTCTCATGCTTCCATTCTAGAACTTTTGGAAGAACAGCATGTGTATGTTTCTCAAATATGTTCTTTTTTTTATCAACTCTCAAATATGTTCTATCGATTGAATTACACGAATTTTGTGCTTTCAGACGAATGTTAAAAGGAATCTCACAAGTTGAACTGAGCCTATTATATAGGAGTGTCTTTTATAAGAACAGAGACATAATCTTGTACACTTTTAATATGATATCGTGTGTGCTTGCTGAAGATGGCAAAGAAGAACACAAGAATGAGACCGAAGCATTGAATACTCTTGGATTTGATCAAGCTGCTGAGACGATGATTAAAAAGGTGAAGCAACAGAGAGATGTCTTATTAAGAACAACTGTTCTTCCAAAAATTCAGAAAACCGGCAATATCAGTCATAAGCATGTACAATACGTAAAGGAAAGAACACATAGCACTATTGATATATATGTAAGAAGCAACAGAGAGATGTTTTATTAATCAAAATTTATTAGTTGGGATTTCATGGGATCGTAGAATACCTTCGGCTGATGTCAAACTTCCTCGTTCTTATCCCATGTCAATAACACATCATTATCATCCTCATCGTCACTGTCTTCTTTTCCCTCAGATAACATCACACCAGCCTCACATACTCTCTCTTGAACAAATCCTCTAAACAAATAATTATATTTTCAGTAGGAATATCTTCTGCTCTAATTTACAAATCCGAGCTTTATGAATAACAAAAACAAAAAGACCAGAAAAATAATCAGACAACGCTTTGATACCTAAGAACCTGTCAGATCTATTATTATGGAGCTCACACTTAGAACAACCTTAAACTCAACTGATGGAAACCAAACAATACACAGATCTATAAGATGGAATCCTTACATTAACATCAACCAGAAGCAAGTCAACCAAACACGCTCACCGCCGCGTTTCACATTCCTCGCCTCCCAGAAACGGAGGAACACGGCTGGACTTCAAATCAGAGAAAAAAACTTTAGGATTAGCCATTTCAGAAGATTGTGTGGTATAAGAGCTATGATAATGATTTTTACAGGAGTAAAGCCAACCTATTTATACAGGGGATCTACATCGTTCTGAGAAAATGTCGACATATCGAATTGGAGATCGTGGGAGGGGAGTAAATGGAAATGATCAATCCTTTTGACGTGAGAAAAAACAATCGACGCCATTGAAGCTTGTCAAGGTTGACGATCGACGACAAGAAAGATAGGCGGGCCGGACTATAATAATTGACACGGGCCATGAGGAGAAAGCCAAAGCCCAAAACAAATGACAAAACATAAATGTATCGTTTTGGAGATGGACAGGTGTCACGATAACAGCTTCTCTATTAGTGACATGGCATTCTAAAATTAGAGAAAACCTTACTTTATAGTATTAGATATATATATATATATATATATATATATATATATATATATATATTAGGGCTGTTCAATATGGTGATACTGAACCGTACCGAACCGAACCGAACCGAAATAGACAATATGGTTTGGATTTGATATATACCATATAAACCGAATGGATATGATTTTATAATAACCGTAGGATTTGGATATGGTTAGGTTTATAACCGATTAAACCGAATAAACCGAACAAAACCGATCAAAGAAAAAATATATAAATATATACATTATATAACCATTTATTTTCTTGGAATAGTCTTTTTATTTTTATTTTTTTATACGTTGTGAAGATATATCTTAATATTTAATTTTATTTTCTTCAACTATTATCTAAATTTGATTTGATTTTACATGTTGTACGAAATTATGAAATTAGATTGTACCATATAATTTATTTGGAAGAATAAGGAGAAAATAAGAAAAGCTATACAAAACTGAATCGTTGATCGTTTTGTTTGTTGTTAATTTCACATTTTTATATTTATGAACACCTAGGATTATTTTAATAAATGATAGTTTTGACAATATGTTTTTTTTAAAAAAATTCATATAATATGAAACCAAATCAAATAATAATGTTATTTGGTATAAAACCGAATAATCGAAAACCGGTAGTATAAATACCGAACCAAACCAAATTAAATATGGTTCCAATATGGTAGCTAATTTTTATAAACCGAATAACCGAAAACCGAAAAAAACCGAACCGAAACCGGACCGAACACCAGATTTAACATGCCTAATATATTTATATAAATTACCGCTGACATAAAAATCAAAATAGTCATAGTTATTTTCATTTTATGGTATATAATTTAGTTTAAACAGTATTAAATTATATATATATATATATAAATGATATGAATATCTATTTTTTTTTTTTTTTTATCATCAACAAAAACAGACTCATATGGACTCTGCGAACCAAACCGGTAGCTCTGTATCCATGTGAACAACGAAAGACGGTTGTTTTCTCGCACTGCGTGCTAGACTGTCCGCCTGTGAATTCAGTGTCCTTGGTACATAGATGATCGTCGAGCTGTGGAAACTCTCCTTAAGCGTCTTGATTTCTTCTAGATAATTTGCAAAAGCTGGCCATTCATCTGGTTCGGAAACCATCTTCACCAACTGAGAACAGTCTGTTGCAAACGTAACGTGATATTGTCGTAAATTCCTCATACTCTCCATTGCCCAGATAAACGCTTCCACCTCAGAATGAAGCGGTGAGAGGCTAGCTCTAACATTTCTCGCTCCCATTAAACCCACAAAACCTTCAAGGGTGCTATACCAACCATGTCCATCAAACACATCTTTATCTTTCCATGAACCATCAATAAAACACCAGCGTCCTGGTATTGACGAGATGATCTCGATTATCCCTTGTCCTGTCTGTATTTCACGTTGATTTAATTTTATTTGGGCCTCCTCCCACAGAGTGGATTCCGTCTCTGCCAATGCGAGTGTGTCCTTCGGATCAATGTCCAGATTACTAAAAGTTTTGTTATTTCGGCCTTTCCAAATGTACCACAATATCCATGCGAAATGATGATCTTCCATTTTAGGAATAACCCGCCAAAATAAGTGGTCTATATTTGTAAACAAAGATCCTGTAGGAAAAGTTAATGGGTTCAAAGGAATCTTTGACAATGCCCAAACTTGTCGTGCTGGTGGGCATTAAAAAAAAACATGGTTCACTGATTCTTCCTTAGCGCCACATCTGTCACAATATATATCACCTTTTATCCCTCTTGCCTGTAGATTTTTCTTAACCGCAATACAACCCGATAGCAATTGCCATAGGAAATGCTTAATCTTGGGAGGACACCTTACCTTCCAGCAGAATGCTTTTAGAGCATCTACTGTGGGTCCGTGAATCTCAGTCAGCGGTCCTCTATCTGGGTATACCCTTTCAACCTGATAGCCTGATTTAACTGTGTACTTTCCGTTCTTAGTGAAATGCCATCCCTCCTTATCAACCATTTGTATCCTGCTANCACCTTACCTTCCAGCAGAATGCTTTTAGAGCATCTACTGTGGGTCCGTGAATCTCAGTCAGCGGTCCTCTATCTGGGTATACCCTTTCAACCTGATAGCCTGATTTAACTGTGTACTTTCCGTTCTTAGTGAAATGCCATCCCTCCTTATCAACCATTTGTATCCTGCTAAGTGGAATACTTTCTATTATTTTCACATTCTGAGGGTCAACTAGAGCTCGAATAACCGGCATGTTCCAAGTCCGCGTATCCGTATTAATATGATATGAATATCTATTAAATGAGACTTTTGGTTTTTATGATTATCTATATCGCGTTATAAATTTTTTAACCATTGATGATAAATTTAATGTGAATTTTTAATAATTTTATTCCTTTATAGTCTTATTAATTCATAGTCTCCTTAAAAAAAACAAAATATAATATATATGAAAAATCTAAATTTTTTTTATATAGTTAATCTGCTTATTTAATTTATTTAAAAAAGATAAAATTAAATAAAAATATTAGAAGATAAACATATTGTTATAACACACTAACTTGTGAGAATAGGAAGTTTATAGATCACTGATTTGTGCTTGTAAGCATTATTTTGTGCACAAACCTAATTTCAAGACAAGTTAAAAGGTTTGGAATATTGTAAAACCTAATATATTGTAGACATGTCTTTCTTTTAAAAATATCTTTTTAAAAACAGTTAGTATAAAATATAGTAATTGCAGTCTATACTCGTAAAATGCAAACTGATTATTTAAGATGAATTCGTATTTTAATTAAAATATCTGTATAGTACATATTTTATTGTACATTAAACTTCAAAACAGAATAGTTACACAGTTTAGAAAACAAAACAAGAAAACTATAGTGTCAGTCTATTTACAGTCTCTATTAGATTGCTAGGACTTTGCACCCTTAGGATGCTTCATTCCATCCAGAAAACATAACTGATATAAATATTATTCGTTTTTTTTGTGTAACTTCATTTTATGAGGAACGTGAGTTTTAGAACATCAAACTTTCTATTTATTTAAATAAATTATGTGAACACACTTTTAGACAAATGAAGTTTAACAACTATGTTTGTCCATTGATAATTAGTTTTTCTGAGTAGTAAAATTAGACTTTGAGATTAATTCTTAAACTTGATAATCCTGGTGTCTGCCAGTAACCATCCGTTCACATGATGTTTTGGGTTACTGATTTTTCAGGTACATGAGAAAGTTGTGGGATGAAGCTTGCAAGCATTATTTGTAACATTTTAAGTAAACACACATATCATTGCAGCAAAGCCAAAATTGACACATAACATTTTATGTAAACACACATATTATTTGACATCTCACCTTTTCGTCGGTCATTATTATACTCTTGAAAGAAGGACCATGAGAGTAAGATAGGGAGAATGAGTTCGATATTGGACCAAGAGGCTTCTCCTGAAGAGGATAGCTGGGCAGAGAAAAGAGAAGGTAGAGAGGAATGGAACTCGCCAGAAAAGTATGCAGTGGAGTTGAAGAGAGAGGAGAGGAAAGTGAAAGGAAGACCCTTTTGGGTGCCATTTGTCTGATGTTCCTCTGTTAAGTAAAGTAGAGGCTCTTCTATTGTATTAACTACAAGTTTGGTTATTGTAACAGGTTTCGTTACTTATATGAGTTCAAATTTTATCATTCAAATGACTGATTAAATGATACAAGTTTGAATCTTGTAGGTAAGAAGATGCTCTAAGCGTTAGAAAAATATTTGTGGATTGGAATAACATATGCACAGTGCAAATCAATTAACACACAAGTCAAATGGTACAATTAAACAAAAAAAAAACTGAAGGGTTTGAGTTTGATCAATTACCCTGAGATGGAAAATTGATCAGAGATCAAACCAGACTGTTACATGAATAACAAAGACATACGAAAAGTTAATAGACAGAAGTTATTAAGAATAAGAACTAATAAGCTCTTCAAAACTGCAGAAGCTGAGTGAGATAATCAGAGAAGATGGTGTCTTCTTCATTCAAAGCAGATGCATCATCATAATAGTTCAATGCAGAACTACTATTGGTAGTCTCTTGAAACTGCTCTGGAATACTGTTAGTGTCCACAAAGCCATCATCAACAGAAGGTACCCAGTTCAATAACGCAGAGTTAGTAGACTCCAAAATCAAATCATCAACGAACACTGAAGTGGTGTCCAAGTCAAAATCACTGAATTGATGGATATCAATCTCAGAGTAATCTAAGCTCATCTCTCCAGTTGAAAAGGCGTTGTTGTTGTTGTTCTTGTCTTGGAGAATGAGAGGTTGATCCACAGGCTCTTCTGCCATCTTCAAGGTCTCGCTGTTGTCAGAAGAATCAAGAGATTCGAAATCAAAATCGAAATCAAGATCAATGAGTTGATCAAAATCAATCTCCAAGGAATCATCATTGATGTTGTTGTTGTGTGGACCACAAAGACTATCACAAGTAGACATGATCTGAAGCTCCTCATCTGTCAAAACATTGTTGTATTCTAGGGTTTCGACACGTTCCTCACTAGAACCGGACTGGAGAACTAGGGTTTGTTCCGTGGGTTCTGTTTTCTCTACTGTCTCGTTGTTGTTACTCTTCTTCATCTTCTTCAGGGGAGGAGGCTGCTCTTCACCTTGATGATTATATGCGTCTTGTGCACGCAACTCTTTGATTTTTGCCAACAATCTCAAAACAGAGTTCATCGCACGCATCAGTTCCTCGGGATTCTTAGTTGTGAGAAGACGCTCATCATCCCACCACTGAGGTAACCCTAATTCTTTCCTCGCGAAACAAATCCCAAGGTCCTCATCATNTGTGACCGAAGGAGAAGAAGCTTACGTTGGAGTTGGCAGAAGGAGGAGTGGCCAACACGGCGATCTGCGCGTCCGTGAGAAGACAGAGCTGTGCTATTTTGCTGTGGAGACCGTTTGTTCGTTTCGTGTAAGTCGTTGCCGCAGATTCACGTTTCGTGATCTTCTCCATCACAGCCTTCCTCTTCGTGCCTTTCACCATTCTTCTCTCGTGGAAAAAAAACAATCAATAGACTTTTTAGGGTTTCTTCGTGAGAGTGATTTTTTGTTTCTTTGTTTTGTTTAGCGTATCAACAAAGCAAAGAGGTGATCGATGGACTCTAGTCTCTCTCACTATATATAGAGTCAACAATTTACTGATTAATTGGACTCTTCCGAAAAAAGAAATAAAATAAGCAAATCTAGGTTTGATTATGTTGTTCACAAAAAGAAAGTCGGCGATGTGAACCAAACATCATATACCGCTTCCGGTTTACTTAAACCAATTATAGTTTTTTTTTCCACCTTATAAAAAATCTAGGTTAATCTTAAGGGAAATTTGGCAGTATGGCTAACAAAAATATTATATTTCATTCTATAGCTAAATACTCTAACATATATCGATACGCCTTGTATTATATGTATAATACCAATTTTGGTCTCCCAAACAACCGGCTAAACCTACAATTAAAAAAGAAAATAATAATTACAGAAGGTAGCAACACTTACACGTGGACATAAGAAAATCACACATATCTCAAAGTTATTTCTTCTTTTTAATTTACAAAGAAGATGAAAATTTCACGGCCGAGATTTGCGCAACCACTACAGCACACCAGAAATCCTGGCGTATTTTTGGATTTTCTTCACACCGGCTACACGGCATCAGTTTTCTGTTCAACCCTGATGTCATCTTTGATTTCTCAACCAAAAATTCAGTCACATAAGACTTGTTAAAATGGCTTACGTTGTTGGTGATGCAGCTTGACTGATTTTAGAAGCGAACGAACCGGGGACGAAGGAACAGTCACACGAAGAAAAACGTTACTCTGCAAGTTTCATAAAACCTTTCAGATTTGCCCTCTCAGGATCTAATTACAGCATTCCGGCACCATACTGTAAGTTTCTTTTCGCTGATTCGGTATCCTGACTCTGAAATTGCACGCATGTAAAATTTTTGATTCATTTTCACAAATTTCAACAGTAATGATCTTTCCCATTCCATGCGGATTATTTCTGTCTTTGTGTTTTTGGCGTTGATCCATCTTTTTTATGTGCTGTACTATACTACCTCGACTTTGAGCAGTCCATAATAAAAAAAATCACATTAATCATATAATAAAAAAAATTAGATTTGTTCTTATATGTTATATTTTGATTGTTTTTAAAACAACCATAAATTACTAAAATTGGTAAAAATATCACATTGAAAATATCACATTGAAAAATATCACATTGATTTGTTCTTTTGTGTTCCTGCTTCTAAATAAATATGAGTTTAAAGCAAGAGATAGGCTTTTTATATTATTTGCAAAATCTTATAAATATCTTATAAAATAACTTCAAAAGCTTATCAAAACTTATAAATATCTTATAAAATAATTTTAAAAGCTTATAAAAGGTTATATTCACCATACATTGTAATCATGCTAAAAGCTTATAAAAGCTTAAAAATATCTTATAAAATATTTTGCTTATAATCATGCAACAAGGGATGAGAGAGAGACGGAGATGAACACAGAAAGATCGAAGCTTTAGGGATTTGAGTCTACAATTATTTTGATTGACTAAAAGTAATAATTAAAATTCCATCAACATATTTATTATTAAACAAACATATGAAAACTGGTATAATCAGAAGTTTGATAATTATTCTTCATCTTATTTCTCTAAATATTAAAATTCCATAAACACACAAAGCAAGAGATTCAACGAATCACAAAAAAACATTAAAACAAATCATGGAAGATTTTTGGTAAAATTTTAGATTTTCCAAAAATATAAATGTGGTATTAGCGTAAATTGTCCAAAATATAGTTTAGATAATTTAACTAATTATATATTAGATTTATGAATAATTTAAATATTTTAAATTTTTTATTAACTTTTGAGGTTTAAAAATGTATTAGAAAAATTAAGAGTTAAATTGACAATCAAGACTCGCAATCCTTAAAAAGAGTATCATCTGCATTGCATTACAAAATCATACAAATCCCATAAAGCATTTTCGTCCGTGGACTGATTGTTTTGCCTTTTACATAGCAAAAGTTCCCATTTAACTAAAGTTCAGGAATGTTTTGGCCAATATACCACAAGTACAAAAACTAGTTGAAAACTAGTGCATTCCATAAAGTATTGGAAGAATGGATTCACCATAAAAAGCTTCAGCACGTTGAAGATACCTCAGATGAACCTCACCAATACCATTAAACATCTGTTCTGACAACTTGTTGCGCGCTTCTTTCAACTTCTCATCTTCAATCTTCTGGTACTTTTTCTTAAAGTCACTGGCCGCTCTTCTCAAAGTGGAAAAAATGGCAGCTTGATCAACCTTCTTCCTATGCATTCGACATAGTATGAAATGAATGGGTTCGCCACCAAAAGCACCACAGCATATAAGAAGCCTCAGACGCACCTCACTAATTTTATTATACATTTGTTCTCCCATAATGTAGCGGACTTGATCCAGCATATCATTTTCAAAGTTCTTGTAGTGTTCCTTAAATATGTGGGCTGCTGCTATCAGTTGGGAAATAGTCTTCTCCCTACACAAGAAAATTAAAGAAGGTATGAACAATAAGGCATTTTAGAAATCCATGTTAAAGACCGACTTGTGCTGTTCAAAGTGAAAGATCAGATTATTTTCTACTCTTAAGTCATTAAAGAGGGATTGAACAATACTGTAAGTTTCTTTTCGCTGATTTGGTATCCTGACTCTGAAATTGCACGCATGTAAAATTTTTGATTCATTTTCACAAATTTCAACAGTAATGATCTTTCCCATTCCATGTGGATTATTTCTGTCTTTGAGTTTTTGGTGTTGAGCCATCTTTTTTATGTGCTGTACTATACTATCTCGACTTTGACCAGTCCATAATAAAAAAAAATCACATTAATCATATAATAAAAAAAATTAGATTTGTTCTTATATGTTATATTTTGATTTTTTTTTAAAACAACCATAAATTACTAAAATTGGTAAAAATATCACATTGAAAATATCACATTGATTTGTTCTTTTGTGTTCATGCTTCTGAATAAATATGGGTTTAAAGCAAGAGATCATCTTTTTATATTATTTGAAAAATCTTATAAATATCTTATAAAATAACTTCAAAAGCTTATCAAAACTTATAAATATCTTATAAAATAATTTTAAAAGCTTATAAAAAGTTATATTCACCATACATTGTAATCATGCTAAAAGCTTATAAAAGCTTAAAAATATCTTATAAAATATTTTGCTTATAAAAGGTTATATTCACCATACATTATAACATACCATATTTGTAGGAAATAAAAATATTTTATATTATCATTATTTAAAAATCATTTATATTTTGTTAAAAAAAATCTTTATGATGGACTAGCTAGGTCAGCTGGGACAGCTAGGGGGAAGCTCATCTCACTTTGGCCGAGTGTTCGGGTCTGGACTAGTATGGATGGTCCGAGCAGTTACAAAAATAATTTTTAACCCGCGGGTCGCGGGTCATGTGGGGCGGGTTTGACCCGCAACCCAGCACTATCTGCAACAAGGGTTGAGAGAGAGACGGAGATGAACACAGAAAGATCGCAGCTTTAGGGATTTGAGTCTACAACTAGGCCTAGAAATTATCTAAAAAGTACGACAATTTTTAAAAATAATAATTAAAATTCCATCAACATATTTATTATTAAACAAACATATGAAAACTGGTATAATCAGAAGTTTGATAATTACTCTTCATCTTTTTTCTCTAAATATTAAAATTCCATAAACACACAAAGCAAGAGATTCAACGAATCACAAAAAAACATTAAAACAAATCATGAAAGATTTTTGGTAAAATTTTAGATTTTCCAAAAATATAAATGTGGTATTAGCGTAAATTGTCCAAAATATAGTTTAGATAATTTAACTAATTTTATATTAGATTTATGAATAATTTAAATATTTTAAAATTTTTTTGTTAACTTTTGAGGTTTAAAAATGTATTAGAAAAATTAAGAGTTAAATTGACAATCAAGACTCGCAATCCTTAAAAAGAGTATCATCTGCATTGCATTACAAAATCATACAAATCCCATAAAGCATTTTCATAGGTGGACTGATTGTTTTGCCTTTTACATCGCAAAAGTTCCCATTTAACTAATGTTCAGGAATGTTTTGGCCAATATACCACAAGTACAAAAACTAGTTGAAAACTAGTGCATTCCATAGAGTATTGGAAGAATGGGTTCACCATAAAAAGCTTCAGCACGTAGAAGATACCTCAGATGAACCTCACCAATACCATTAAACATCTGTTCTGACAACTTGTTGCGCGCTTCTTTCAACTTCTCATCTTCAATCTTCTGGTACTTTTTCTTAAAGTCACTGGCCGCTCTTCTCAAAGTGGAAACAATGGCAGCTTGATCAACCTTCTTCTTATGCATTCGACATAGTATGAAATGAATGGGTTCGCCACCAAAAGCACCACAGCATATAAAAAGCCTCAAACGCACCTCACCAATTTTATTATACATCTGTTCTCCCATAATGTAGAGGACTTGATCCAGCATATCATATTCAAAGTTCTTGTAGTGTTCCTTAAATATGTGGGCTGCTGCTATCAGTTACGAAATAGTCTCCTCCCTACACAAGAAAATTAAAGAAGGTATGAACAATAAGGCATTTTAGAAAGCCATGTTAAAGACCGACTTGTGCTGTTCAAAGTGAAAGATCAGATTGTTTTCTACTCTTAAGTCATTAAAGAGGGATTGAACAATACTGTAAGTTTCTTTTCGCTGATTCGGTATCCTGACTCTGAAATTGCATGCATGTAAAATTTTTGATTCATTTTCACAAATTTCAATAGTAATGATCTTTCCCATTCCATGCGGATTATTTCTGTCTTTGAGTTTTTGGCGTTGAGCCATCTTTTTTATGTGCTGTACTATACTATCTCGACTTTGACCAGTCCATACTAAAAAAAAAATCACATTAATCATATAATAAAAAAAAATTAGATTTGTTCTTATATG